GTCAGTGGGTGGTCTTGCAAGTGTTATGTATAGGCATTACCCCAGGAAGCAAGCCTAGACAGACCTGGTGGCATGCTGGGTCTGTGACCAGCCTCCTGGTGGGGAGATAAGCTGATGATTATCTATTAAGAGCTTGGGCCTCCCCGGTGGCGCAGCGGTGGAGCGCTGGGTTGCGAAGCTGCCCGCGGCCTCTGCGGTGCCGGTTCAATCTCCGGCTGCTCCCCGGCCACCGGAGGAGGGTCCCACATGGTGCGCAGACCTCTCCTGCCGCCCGCTGCTCCCCTCAGCAGTGTACTTCGGTCCTTCTGCCTGCTCTGCTCCCCGCTCTGGCTCTGGTGAATTCTCTCGCCCTCCCGCGCTTCTGACTGTACCCAGTGCATGTATAAACAAAACAAACAAACAAGCAAACAAATAAATAAAGAAAAACATGCCTCTGTTAAAAAAAAAAATCTTTAAAAAAAAAAAAAAAAGAGCTATAGGCAGTAACATTAAATTTCAGAGCGGTAAGGGGACTGAATCTCTTGGAAAATCAGTCTACTTCTAGGAAGTAAAAGAAAGGGAGCTGGCAGTCTGTTTCATCGGCGTGGAGTTGGAGTGTGAGGTGAAGGATGGGATCCCATAGGGGGGCGCGGGCTGGGAGGCGACTGTCCAGCAAGTCCGCGACACTCCTTTTAGAAGAGCTCGAATAGTTGGGTGTGCAGCCTCCTGATGGCACCAGATTTTTGTCTCTTCCCTCTGTCTTCTGGGTCTTGTGACCTATACGGTTCTAAAGTCTTGATCCTCCTTATCTTCAGGCGCTGATCAATCGTGGGGTTAACCTGGATCCCTTGGGCAAGTGGTCAAAGACCGGACTGGTGGTGTATGATTCTTCAGTGCCCATTGGTGAGTGTTTCCTGTCCACTCGCCCTTCTGCCCCTGCCCTTGTCCCAGCATGTGACAGGCAGGTCCTTCTCCACAGGAGCTACTCCCGAGTACCTGGCCGGACACTACATGCTGCAGGGCGCCTCCAGCATGCTTCCTGTCATGGCCTTGGCGCCCCAGGAACATGAGCGGATCCTGGACATGTGCTGTGCCCCTGGAGGAAAGACCAGCTACATAGGTATGAGGAGGGCAGCGGGCCCAGCCTCAGCTGGTGCTCTGCTTTTGAAGGTAGATGGGATTGGAGACTCGTGCTCAGGCAGCTAGCAGAACTGAGAGGAGAGGAGCAGGCTCTGGAGTCGGCCCGGGTTCTGGCCCCATGGGTGCCCCTTACTAATACGGCCTTGGACAGCCCTGCTCTGCTTTTGTCATGTGTGATACAGGCTTGTAATTGCACTGGGTTGGCCATTACACTGGACTTGGGCTTGAGGTAAGACGGTGCTCTTGAAGGCACGTGCTAAGTTGTCCTAACTGTTTTCCTAAACTATCATGTAAAAGAAGTAACAACAGGGTCAGAAAGATGTCCAGGGAGACTGGAAAGCCACATCGGGAGCCTTTCTCATCACCAGGGGCCAACGTAGACAGGACAAACTGTTCCGTAGGCCATGGGGTGCAGGCGTCCTGGGAGTGAAGTTTGCCATGAAGTGATGAGACTTCACTTGGGGACCTTGGGCTGTAGGGGGCTGGCTGGTGTGGAGGCGGAGGAGCTGCCTGGTGAGCGCTGTGCCCTCCCCCAGCCCAGCTGATGAAGAACACGGGTGTGATCCTTGCCAACGATGCCAATGCTGAGCGCCTCAAGAGCGTTGTGGGCAACCTGCACCGTTTGGGCGTCACCAACACCATCATCAGCCACTATGATGGGCGTCAGTTCCCCAAGGTGGGTCCCCCTGCTGCAGCTTCCCTGAGGCACCTCCCAGCTCACCGTTCCCCTTCCTGACATCAGAATGGAGTGTACGGACCTCCTAGGAAATAAATGGCATGTCTGGGTGGTTCATCTGGTTGCCCTACTCCTTCTCCCAGGTGGTGGGGGGATTTGACCGAGTCCTGCTGGATGCGCCCTGCAGTGGCACTGGGGTCATCTCCAAGGACCCAGCTGTGAAGACCAACAAGGTGAGGAGCCCGTGGGGGGCTGGCCAAGTCAGGAGGGGAGGTGGAGAGCACTGAGCAGTCAGTAGCTCACCTTTCCTCCTCAGGCCAGTCTTTGAAATCCCAACCCTTGGGTCTCTCCTTGGGACAGGATGAGAAGGACATCCTGCGCTGTGCCCACCTTCAGAAGGAGTTGCTCCTGAGCGCTATTGACTCTGTCAATGCCGCCTCCAAGACGGGTGGCTACCTCGTCTACTGCACCTGCTCCATCATGGTGAGGCCTCTGGGTGGCGGGGCAGGGTGGGCATGGCTGGGAGGCTGCCCCCCAGAGCCCCCTAATCTCCACCTGTGCTTTTCCTCTGTCGTTGTCCCCCCCTGTGTCCAGGTGGAAGAGAATGAGTGGGTGGTAGACTACGCCCTGAAAAAGAGGAATGTGCGGCTGGTGTCCACAGGGCTAGACTTTGGCCAGGAGGGCTTTACCCGCTTTCGAGAGAGACGCTTCCATCCCACACTGCGATCCACCCGCCGCTTCTACCCTCACACCCACAACATGGACGGTTTCTTCATTGCCAAGTTCAAGAAATTCTCCAATTCTATCCCCCAGTCCCAAACAGGTCGGTAACCTGCTCTTTCTATCCTCAGCATTATCTTTGCTCTGCCTTCCAAGAGGCTTCCCAGCGTGACTTCAGGGAAAGGAAGGGCTTTTGCCTCCCTCACTGCAGTCTTTGTACTCCTGCGCGAAGACACCCTTTCATCCCAACTTGAAATCCTTCCTCGGCCTGGATCCCTTTTGAGGATGCTAGAGGGTTCAAGATGGGGTCTTTTCCTTAATTCTGCCAAGCCACTGCAGTCATTCGGCACTGAGTGCCGCTCCAATGTGGGTTGTGGTTCTTTTCCTTCTTGGCCCAGGATTGCCTTCCTGCTGATAGCCTTCTGCTGGGCCAGTGTTCTCAACACTGCCTTGGCACAAGACAACTGAGAACTCTCAGCAGTTTTCTGAGCCCAGCCCACTAATGCAGGCCGTCTTCTCTGCCATCTTGAGGAATCTGGCCTGTTCTTCAGGGGAAGGGGTGGGGTATCTGAAATAGGGTATCTGAAATAGCTCTTCATGCTGGGATAGTTGGGAGAGGAGAGGCAGGCTTCTCTGAATACAGCTGTGTGACTTACCCAGTTGATTTGTTTTTCTTTTCAATGCCCTTTAAAAAGTCACATTTGGCTATTACTGAAAACCTTGAAAAAGAGCAAAAATTGCCTTAACTTTGAAAGTAATGTCATTATATCTTAGAGGCTTGTTCCTCATTGTTGTTTGTGCTTTCTATGTCTGCATTTCACCAAAATCCATATTTACAAAAATGCTCTGATTTAAAAAAAAAAAAAAAAAGCCTGATGCTTCAGGTTTCTGTAGCAATCACCTCCTCCTAGGTGTGTGTTACCTTGGTGTCCTCAAGAGGGCGCAGCTTCCTCTGAAAACCTTTTGGCCCAAGGATGGGTGGAGATACCGTCTCTGTAACAGAAGGCTCAAACACAAGTTGAGTAAAGGCCAGGTGATACTAAGTAATAAGAACCTAGGTAATCGCTTCTTAGGTGCTGTCCTTACTGTATGGAACATTTGGTCACAGGACAGTTTCTAAGCAGCTTCTGTGTTTAATACCTCTATTTACTTCTCCACTAAGGTCAGGACCCAGTGATGAGGCCCATTTTTTTCAAACTCTGTTTAATTTTAACCACAGGAGATTCTACAGCATCCACCCCTTCCAACCTAGGCTTGTCTGACATGAAAGGTCAGGCAACCTCTAAGCCTGAGAGCAGTGGCCAGCCTGCCAAGAAGGCCAGGGTAGCTGTGAAGACAAAGCAGCAGTTGAAGAAACAGTCGCATCCCAAGAAGGCGTCCTTCCAGAAGCAGAATGGCATCTCCACAGGGACAGACTCTGAACTGTCCTCTGCGCCTTCCGTCACAAAGGCCCAAACGTCATCTAAGCTCCAGGATAGCCCTCGGCCAGCTAAGAAAGCTAAAGTGACCGGCCAACCAAAGGTGACTGGGAAGCGAAAGCAGCAGCCATCTAAACTGCAGGCCTCCCAGACAGTGGCCTCGTTGAGACAGACCGCTCCTTCCACGGGCATAGACGCCAAAGCACCTGCTGGGCCATCCCGCTCCAAGACCCAGGTCACTCCGAAACCTGAGCACCGTGCTCTGCCCCTTGGCAGGACCCAAGGGTCTCAGAAGATAAAGCAGCAGTTGCCAGAGCAGCCTTTCAAGCAGGCTGCCTTCCAGAAACAGAATGGCACCCCCAAGGGACCTAAGACTCCCACCATGTCCCCCAACAGTTCCAACCGACCCCCACCGGCAAAGAGGAGAAAATCTCAGTCCAGAGGCAATGGCCAGCCACTGCTGTCCTGAGGGATGGTTGGTGATAGACTGGAGTCCCTCGTCGCCCCGTCCCTGGTTAGAACTCTTAACCTCTATGAGGACGCCCTCCTCGCTGCGTAAACATGACATTTAATATACATTTTTACAACCTCTGGCTGCTGTGTGTCTTTTGAGGGGACTGTGTACTGGTTTTGCTCGTTAAAGGTAGGGGCGGGGCGGAGCGCAGGATCCTGGCAGAGGCGGTGTTCGGAACTGCTGAGAATCATCTCGGTTTAAGGTTCCCGGGAGCCGGTGGCCTCTTAGGGCCCCTGGGGAGTCAGAACTAGGTGCACGGGCTGGGGGGGTAGGAGTGTAGGGAAGATGGGCTTCCCACCGGCCGAACCCACGGAGGGCCTGGGTTTTCGGCCCCAGGGGTCTTGGCAGGATTCCAGGCCCCGTCTGGGGTGCGCTGAGAGGAAGGATCCGACTCAGACCCGGAAAGGTCCCGGTGCCAGCCTCCCATTCATCCCGTCATTGGCCTCCGCGCCGCCCCCCGCCGCCCCCCTGACCTCTGCCCCTCCTGCCGAGCCGTGCGATTGGCTGCCCGGCGTCCCCGGGCGCCCCATTGGCTGGGCGCCGTCGCCCTCCATCCCCGCTCCTGCGCTGGGCTCCATCTCCCAGCAGAAGGCGCAGCCATGAATCCGTTATTCGGCCCCAACCTCTTCCTCCTGCAGCAGGAGCAGCAGGGCCTGGCCGGGCCGCTGGGCGACCCTCTGGGAAGCGACCACTTTGCCGGGGGCGGGGACGTGCCCCCCGCGCCGCTCTCCCCGGCCGGCCCGCCTCCCTACTCGCCCCCGGGCCGGGCCGGCCGCCCCCCGCCGCCATGGCGCTCCGCAACGACCTGGGCTCCAACATCAACGTGCTCAAGACGCTGAACCTGCGCTTCCGCTGCTTCCTGGCCAAGGTGCACGAGCTGGAGCGCCGCAACCGGCTGCTGGAGAAGCAGCTGCAGCAGGCGCTGGAGGAGGGTAAGCAGGGCCGGCGGAGCCTGGCTCGCCGCGACCAGGCCGTGCAGACCGGCTTCATCAGCCCCATCCGGCCCCTGGGGCTGCCCCTGGGCGCCCGGCCGGCCGCGGTCTGCACCCCGTCGGCGCGGGTGCTGGGCTCGCCCGCGCGCTCGCCCGCCGGCCCCCCGGCGCCCTCGGCCGCCGGCCTCTCGTCGGCCGCCACCTCCACAGCCTCGTCCACCGCCTACTCCTCGTCGGCCCGCTTCATGCCGGGCACCATCTGGTCCTTCTCGCACGCGCGCCGGCTGGGGCCGGGACTGGAGCCCACGCTGGTGCAGGGGCCTGGCCTGTCGTGGGTGCACCCCGACGGGGTGGGCGTCCAGATCGACACCATCACCCCCGAGATCCGCGCCCTCTACAACGTGCTGGCCAAAGTGAAGCGGGAGCGGGACGAGTACAAGCGGAGGTAGGGTCTGGGAAGAAGATGAGGGAGGTGCGTGCCGGGCGTGTCATCCCACACAGCGCAGGGACACAGGTGCGCCAAGAGAGGAGAGCAGCCGGCCCAAGAAAGAGGGAGCAGGGGGGAAGGGGGAGACTGCGCTCCCCAGAGAATGCAGAAGTGGGAGTCCTGACAGGGGCCCTGGGGCAGCACCCTGTGAGGCAGTCATGCTTTCCACTGGCTCGCCTTCCAAATCCTGGGGCGGGTGTTGGCATGACTGTGTTAAAAGGGGCTCAGGTCTGGAAAGTCACGTCTGGGGTACGGCTTATCGACACCACGCTCAGCCCTCAGCAATTCTGTGACAGTTAGCCCCATGGCTTGATCCAAAGGTAGAGGGAAAAGCTCTAGCTTTAATTTGGAAGGCCAAAGGAAATGAGAAGGGACCGCGAGGAGGGGCTGCACCACCGTGGCCCAAGTGTCTCCCACCCAGCCCAGGGTTGGTGGAAACTGGGTGCCCGCTGTGGTGCTTTACCAAAGGCTCTGGGACCTCAGGGCTCTGCTTGAGGTAGGTAAAAAAGAATGGCGCAAGAAAGAGTAGAGGGCATTCCCTAGGGAAAGGGAAGGGACTGGGAGTTGTCACAGGCTCTTGGAAGCCAGGGGAATGCCACCCAGCAGAGCCGGCAGTGGAGGAAGTGTGAACAGAGCCAGTGAAGGTCCTGAGGACCGGAGCAGGAAGAACCCGGCAGCATGGACACACCCTTTGAGGATCAGGCAACAGCAGAGGGTGGGGGCTGCCACCTTCCAAGGATCTAGGAAGGGATGCCATGCTCTGTACCAAGTGGGCCCCTTAGAGGGCCCTGACCAGGCCAGTTCAGCAGGAGCACGCACAGCCTGCTCTATAGACTCCATGCCCCAGGTCTTGGTGGCCTGGGAAGAAGGTGACAGGTGTGAAGAAGGCTTTGCTTGGGGAGCCTTCAGATTTAACCTCTTCGTGCCTCCTCTGACCCCTCGTGGACAGACCTGGGAACTGCAGTTGCCGAGTCACCCAGGTGCCTGTCTTTGGCAGCCCATGGGGATTGCCTGAATGCTCTGGGAAGTTATTGCTGGCCTGGGGGCAACCTTCAGGGATCTGTAACCCACCAGAGGCAGCAGATTGCAGGCAGCAGGCTTTCTGGGGTGGCATCCCGCCTTCAGGGTGACTTTTCTAGTGGTGGTCCAGGAGTGGCTGGGAGTCTAGTTATACTAGAACTGTACCGCCAGAGCCTGCCCAGCCCAGCCTGGCCCTGCAGGAGTTAACTCACGCGGTCAGCAGCAGAACATGGGCAGTTCTGGAATGCGTCCATAACCACAGAGACAACTGCTGTCCTCAGGACCCTTTTTAAAAAAAAAACAAAACTGAAAGGGTGTTTGTCCTTGGCCCAGCTGTCCAGGGCAGCAAGGAGTTATTCCTTGGGGCTGGATGAGCTCATGGCTCTGCAGCACTGCTGTGGAGGGGCCGGCAGCTGAGTGTTTGGGACGTGTCACCAGCGGTTACTCATTCCTCCACCCCAGGTCCCTGCCCTAGTTCTTTTCTCTTTATAGCAACACTCGCTGCTGTGTGTAGCCTGCAGAGCTCGGGCATCTCTTAAGCACTAAACGGGGAGGGAGCTGAGGCCTCCTGGGTTCCATTTTCAGCTCTCCCACCTTGTGTGGCCTTGAGGAGAGGGGTCTCTTTTTCGGGTCTCCTAATGTAAGAGTGGCCCATGCTTCCTCAAGTCACTCAAGGGTACCATTTGTTTGGAAGAGAGTTATTTAGTAAATGTAGAATATGTGGAAATTACTCCAGTTCTTCCCATGTTAAGGGAACCTTGTCAGACCAGATTGGAATGGAGGTCAGAATGAACCTATTTGTAGAAAAGTAGGTTCTGGCTGGAGAGCAAATAAAATTCTAGTGAGCTTCTAGATAGTTCACGTCCTGATTTTTTTTTTTTTACCCTGTAAAACTTCCTCACTGAAGTTCTGTACCTGAACAAGTGCTCTGTCAAACAGTGCTCCCCTCCCTTCCCGATGCACCTTGTCCGTCTTGCTTTCTTCCCCCAGGGTCTCCAGGGGCGTGAGGGGACCACATCCTGTGGCTTCATGTGGTAGAAGAATCTGGGGGGGCCGGCAGGGAGGGGTAGGCAGGGAGCTGGGCTTCATGATGAGGCGGTAGGGCGGTGGCCAGGCTGCCTGCCTCCTCCCTGCCCAACGGGAGGGGCGGCCCGGCGATGCAGAGGAGTTATTATTAGGAATGCTGCAGTGCGGCTGTGGGTGAGGAACATGGGAGAGCAGGAGAGGAGACGGGGCGGGCCCAGGGTGGAGAGCAGAGGACAGGTGGGGGAGATGGAGGGAGGGCAAGAAAAGATTGGATCCAGGATGTGCCCTCTGGGCTTGTCATTGACTTGCCAACCTCTACCACCTCCTAAGCGCCTTTCTGACATTGAGGCCTCTCTCTTGGCGCAGTCCCCTCCTCTCTGCGGACTGTGACAAGACGTGATAGGTTCTACGATTAGGGTCTGAGAAGCTCTGCCAGTCCCACCAGCCTTGTAGGGCCCTGGGGTCCTCAGCAGTGGCCTAGACCCACCCCCGCCCTTCACCTCACCTCAGGATGTACTGGAATGTGCCCCAACTGGCCATGCACTGTCCCCCAGGGAAAAGACCCCAGCAGGTGTCAGTTCTAGTTCCCATCTGCCAGATGAACAAGGCACATCTGTGCCTCAGTTTCTCTTTTGCTCAGGGTTGGGGTACTTGTAACCCCAGGCCCTGCTTTCTGTGGCTTCAGTGCCTCAGGGCCAGCCCCATCGCCTCTTCAGGGGGCTCTGGGTGGGCAGTGTCTGGGGCTTTGTGGGGGTGGACGCTGAGCTTCCTGCCAGGCTCGTGACCATCTCTGTTGCTGCGGTGTGTGTCCTGCAGCTGCTTTTCCAGGGTTAAATGGTCCCCCAGGAGGCAGGGCAGCGGGCTAGAGGAGCTCAGTGCTGGTGCGGGCAGGAGGCGGGAGACCGGATCTGTGGACTGAAGGTGGGAGACCGGGCCGGGTGGGCCTGTGGTCTGGTGGGGGCAGGATTGGGGGGAGCCGGCCTGAGAAGCAGCTGTTGTAGAATCTAGTCCTGGTGTCGGGAAGGCAGCTGATGAGCTTGGCACCGGCCAGGAAGGGTGGTGCCGACCAACAGCTGCAGGTGGGAGGCCGGAGGGGTCTGTGCACCGCTCTGACCACCCCTAGCTGGATCCCTGCGGGGTCTGAGGCCTGAGCCGAGTGGAGGGGAGTGGACACCCCAGTGGCCCAAAGGACCCTGTCGCCAGCGCCCTTCTTCCTCCCTGCGTCTCCAGGTGGGAAGAGGAGTACACGGTGAGAGTGCAGCTGCAAGAGCGTGTGACAGAGCTCCAGGAGGTGAGGCCCCTGCTTCCTGGCACCCCTCCTGGCCTTGGACTCCTCCCCGGCTTGGCAGCACTGCTGATGCTGGGGCTTTCTCCCTGGCTGTAGGAAGCCCAAGAGGCTGATGCCTGCCAGGAGGAGCTGGCGATGAAGGTGGAGCAGTTGAAAGCGGAGCTGGTGGTCTTCAAGGGGCTCATGAGCAACGTGAGTGTGTGCACCTCACTCTGCCCCAGGCGCTGACCACAGGTTGCCTAAAACCGGGCTGCTAGGCCTGTTTGGTTCTGGCCCTGCCCTTTGATTTCCTGTCCACTGCCCCTCCCTGCCACTTTGATGTGCTTCCCTTTTTTTCTCCCGCCACCCCCTCTTTCGATAGAAAAAAGGAACAAAAGTCCCAGCATGTCCATGGGCCAGTGAGGCTGCCATTATTAAGAGGCGTGGAGCCTCTAGCTAGGAGCCCAGAGCCGGGCCTGCAGCGCCCTGCAGTGTGGCCTGACCCCCTGCCTCCACGTCCTCACTTGCAGCGGGACGGTAGAGGCTTATTCTCTGCAGAAGGACTGTGGAGCTCATAGCAGGTGTAGGACACACAAACTGATGTTTAGTGCTGAGCAGTGTTGGCCTTGCCCCGCTCCTGTAACTCCCACAAGTCTCTCTCTCTTTGGAAACAAGTTCGGGGTGGGGGGCACACCCTTCGTGGCTTCCCAGCCAGGGAGCCAGTGGCCGGAGCAGCCCGGCGTGTGCTGAGTGCAGTGAGGACACCAGATAAGTGACATTTCTGCTTGGAGGAGGCGATGGGGCCATGTGGCTGGGAGGGCCCAGGGACCCCACCAGGCCTCGTGGTCCATGTCTGGGGTGCTGGTGCCGCCTTACCGGTCCCGTGTTCCCTGCACAGAACCTGACAGAGCTGGACACGAAGATCCAGGAGAAGGCCATGAAGGTGGACATGGACATCTGCCGCCGCATCGACATCACCGCCAAGCTCTGCGATGTGGCTCAGCAGCGCAACTGCGAGGACATGATCAAGATGTTCCAGGTACGGGCGCTGGGCTGCCCTGGACCCGGGAGGAGGCCGGCCCCGGCCCCGGCCCGCGCCTCCCTGGTGCCCGGCTCCTCAGGGAGGGTGGGGGCGGCCGAGGAGCGTCCATCGCTGCTGCCGGAGCACAGGCCACCCTCGCCTGGGGGACCCTGCCTGGGCAAGGGGGCTCTCGGGGACTAGGCCGGGGGGGGGGCAAGGAAACAGCCACTGTGGAGAAGGTTGGACGCCGTCTCTAACGCCGTCTCTCCCTTCCCTCTCTCTCCTCTCTCCTTTCACCTTGTCTGGCTTTCTCCACAGAAGAAGCTGGTTAGTTTTGCTCTCACGCAAGCTTATTAACGTCCCAGTCCCGGTTTCTAAACTACCTGTCGGTTTTGACCTGCTGGGCTTTTCAGCACAGATTCTCCCCTTGTCGATTTTCCTTGCTCCCCCTCACCCCCTTTTTTCCTTTCTCTTGGCTATGTTCTTCTCTGCCCCTCCTCCCGCTGGCTTTCCAGATGCGGTGATTCGGATTCTTCTTCATAAACACTGTGTTTTCCTCCTCCTTGCGGCCTACAACTTTCTTTTCAGTTCAGTCATTTCATTAGAAAAACTTTCTTAGAACAAGAAATCCTCTGGGCCCAACGGCCCTCTCTCCCCTTGTCTCATGCTCTGGGTTCTGTCTCTTCTGTTCTTCCTCCTCAGGCTGCAGCCCTGTCCCCCTCGTGTCTGTCTGCCCCTCTCGGCGGCCCTGGGGTTCTGTTCCTGTCGTCGTAACTGTGTCTTCTCTCTGTCCCGCCCACCCCTTGCTGGTTCACGCTTCTCCCCTCCCGCCCTGCCCCTGCCAGTGCCCACCCGCCCTTTCTCCTCATGCACCCGGCCTCGTCTCTGTAGTCTCTGCACTTGTCTCCCCTTAAGGTCCCATCCATGGGGGGGCGGAAGCGGGAGCGCAAGGCTGCCGTCGAGGAGGACACCTCCCTGTCTGAGAGTGACGGGCCCCGCCAGCCCGATGGGGATGAGGAGGAGAGCACAGCCCTCAGCATCAACGAGGAGATGCAGCGCATGCTCAACCAGCTGTGAGTCCCGCAGGCCACCCTCAGTGCCCCCGCCCCGAGGCCGGAGCCCCCACAGTGCCCTGGCCAGGACGCAGGCCCCCAGCTGCCTTGACACGCGGGTTCCCTGTCTCCAGGAGGGAGTATGATTTTGAGGACGACTGTGACAGCCTGACTTGGGAGGAGACTGAGGAGACCCTGCTGCTGTGGGAGGATTTCTCAGGCTATGCCATGGCAGCGGCAGAGGCCCAGGGAGAGGTAACTGCCCCTCCTGGCCTGGGCCCCCAGTCTGGCTCCCCAGCTCAATGCCCTGTCTCCTCCTCTCACTCCTGCTCTGTCTCCCTCTGTGGCCTGCTTCTCCCCGCTTCATCCTCGCCCTGCTCCCTCTTCCTTTATCCTCTCCAGGCTTCCTCCAGCTTCCTTTAATCGAACACTCTCTCTCTCCACCCCTCCCCTGTGGCCCTGTGGAATGCACACCCCGCTCCTTTCGATTCCAGCAGCAGGAAGACAGTTTGGAAAAGGTGATTAAAGATACTGAGTCACTGTTCAAAAGCCGGGAGAAGGAATATCAGGAGACCATCGACCAGATAGAGGTAAGGGCGTGAGCTGAAGCCAAGGTGTGGTGGCCCCAACCTCTCGGACCCAGACGTCAGGCCTCCCCGGGCTGTACGGCCTCTCCTGGCTTGCACCTCACTCTCTGGGGCTGGGGTCAAATCTGAGCTCAGCTACTAACTCCTAGGAGGCTACTTACCCTCTCTAAGCCTTGTTTGTAAAATAGAGATTTTAGTAATACCTCCTCCATAGGGTGGCTTTGAGGTGCACATGAAATAATGAACATTTAGCGCTCAGGGCAGTGTCTGCGTTGTGGGAGTTGGTATAGTTGCTGGTGGTGGTGACGCTGGCTTTGCGCTGTGCTGCTGCTTCCGCTCAGCCTCTGAGCTAGTGGGGGTACCCTTATTCCTTAGCCTTGAGGAACCTTCTTGAGATGGCAAGTGCAGCTGGTGCTTTAATTTAAACTCGAGGCTTTTAGGGGTTGCACCCCTGATGGGGGGAGCAGTGAGGGAGGCTTGGCTGTGGCCCCTGTGAGCCCCACTGCCTGTGGCGTGAGGCCCCTCTCAGGCACTGTGTGGGGACCAGGCGGGGGATGCTTCTTTGTCACATCCCCTTGCTTCAAGCCCACGGGCACACATATGCACTGTGTGCTCACACGCCTGCATTTTTTCTTCTCTCCCCCAAACCCCACAGTAGTCATGCCTGTATTTTGAGAAGGAAGTTGAGAAATGATTTTTCTACATAATCATTCTCCTGACATACATCAAAGGTTCTGCTCTTTCAGCGAAACCTGCTTTTGGTTTTTGACTTTGGCAGGTGAATGCTAAGTCTTTTTTTTTTTTTTTTTTTTTTTTTTTAAGATTTATCTATGCATGCAGGAACTGGGGTACAGGTCAGACGTGCAGGGGGTGAGAGGATTCACCAGAGACAGAGTGGGGAGCAGAACAGGCAGACTGACTGAAATACACTGCTGAAGGGAGCAGCTGGCGAGTCAGGAGAGGTCTGCTGCGCCTTGTGGGTAGCTCCCTGGCCAGGGATCGAACTCGTGCTGCAGTGGCTGGTAATCGCTTCATAGTGCTGCGTCTTAACTCATTGCGCCGCCAGGGAGGCCGAAATGATTGCTAAGTCTTAAAGGCAGATTTATATGAAGTCCTAAAACCAGATTCATGCTACTCGCTAAGGAGGGGGTTGGTTTCCACTCTCCCATTTTCTCCATTTACACCCACCTGCCTCCCTGCCTCCTGCCTGCCCTTCCCATCTCTTGTGGGTGGTGAATTTAAAGTTTTATGTCTTTACTGTCCCCTCAACCAAGTCAGGGCCTTGGGGCAGAGTTTGAGGCTGCCTGTCTGCTCAGTTTTTCCATTGCTCAAAACATGGTGTGAAAAGAAAGGAAAATCCCACACCCCCCTCCTCTGCAGTGGAATGCCACTAAGGGGGTTCGGGGAGCTGATGCATGGCTTAGGGTACAGTGACCCTCCTGGGGCACCTGAGGTCCATTATCATTGTGACCTTTGATCTCTCAGGACCAGGTCCTGTTATTGATGGTATAACCAAGGCCAGGGTGGAGGGTGGGAGGGAACCCTTTGTCTCCAATCCTTTCCTCTCTCCACATGTCCCCAGCCCTGCCCCCCGGGGGTCACAGAGGCTGGGCTGCTTGGGGGCCATCTCTTTACCTCTTCCCTGCTTTAAATGAATGAATTTGGACAACTTGCAAGTCAGTAGAGACAACCGTGGCAGTCCCCGCCTTGTATTTTGAGGATCTCCGTGGTTCATTTCCTCCTTCCTGTCCCTCTGGGTGAGAGGCTCCAGAACCCAGCGCCCCCACTCCGGCTCTCCCGAAGTGAAGACTTGGGGTGTGAGTGGCAGTTGATCGCACAAGAGCTGGTGGCCCCCTGTTTGCTTCCGTGAGAGCACGGTGGGCACTGCTGCCCCTCTGGCTGCTGCCGCGGCAGGACCCGGATGGAGCCCAGCTCTGGGCCAAGGCTGCCGTTGACGCTGCACTCACTAGGGCCTCGGGCCCTCGGCGGCCACCCTCTCCTCCCCAGGGCCGCGGCCCTGCCCCCTCTCCTTTGTCAGGCTGTGACCCATTTACTTCTTCCCGTTCCCATCCTCTGTCCAATTCAGATTATTCACGCGTAGTTTCCTCCGCTTTCTCTTTGCTCTCAGGCCGTCCAGCAAATCACTGCCAAGCAGTTTTATTCTTCCTCCCCTTTGGCCCCCTGGCCTTTGTACCCAAACAAAGAGAGGCAGCGATTGTTTCTGGCCCAGATCTTTCACCGCCTTTGCCCTGCCTCTCAGCTGCACGCAACATGCGCAGGCAGAGTCGTGCTGGGGCTGGGGTGGTGGGGGGAGCCTGTCTTGCCTCGCCTCGGAGCCCCACAGTTTTTCACAAATAGGATTTTAAAATTTGGAACACATCTTTTAACAAGTGGGACGCTTTGTGTGGCGTGTTGCCCCTGAAAATGCCTCAGAGGTGAGAAAGTTCAAAGGAGAACTAAGGAGACTCAGCAATGAGGTTGAGCTTTTCTGTGCTCTGCGCCTTGTTAATGAATGAATGAATTTCCCATCAAGTGCTGGTGAGCACGTGCAGAGGCGGGTAGCCCTGTGCCCAGCGCTCCCAGGGCTCCGCCTTTTCTGAGGGACACACGCAGGGCCCAGCAGGGCTCAGCACTGGTGGGAACCCAGGAGGACAGGGGCCCTGGGGAAGGCCCATCTCTCCAGCCTGCCCCTGTGTGCCTCCCCGCCCCCCTCCAGTCTGGTGGTGCCTGCAGGCCTGGAGCTGGTACCTGGGCATCCCTGTAGGCAGAGATTCTCAGGAAGCTGGGGATAGTGTATCCGGTGCCTTCCGCTTTGAGCAGGTTGATTTTTTAAAGTCTGAGTGCTCCACCACGCTGCTGGGCTCCTGCAGGGTGCCGGCTCCTGGGTTCCATCAAGCAGGGGCCCTCCCCCTGACTGCTGCCCCCACCCTGCCCCCCACAGCTGGAGCTGGCCACTGCCAAGAACGACATGAACCGGCACCTGCACGAGTACATGGAGATGTGCAGCATGAAGCGGGGCTTGGATGTGCAGATGGAGACCTGCCGCCGGCTCATCACGCAGTCCGGAGACCGGTGAGGGCCTCCCCTGGTGCGCGTCCCGCCCACCAGCCTCCGGGGCCCCCTCCGTGGCTGCGTGCAGCAAGGGAGCAGTGGCGCTGGGCGGGCAAGCTCTGAAGCACCCCGGGTGGGGGGTGTATCACCTGCAGTCTAGCCCCCAGCCTCTCAGATGCCCCAGGACGAGGATGGCGACTGGCCCCCTCACTCTCCTGGGACGGTGGGAAGCGGGAGAGGTTTCTTTCTCCTCTGCTGCCTCCCAGAGAGTAAGGCCAAGGGAGAGGAATTCCCCCTCGGGGTTCCTGCCCCCCAAGGTGACAACTGGTGTTTTCTTCTAGAAAGTCTCCTGCTTTCACTGCGGTCCCGCCTAGCGACCCGCCGCCGCCGCCGCCAAGCGAGACTGAGGACTCCGATCGCGATGTCTCATCTGACAGCTCCATGAGATAGGGACCTGCCTCCAGCTCGGCTCCAGGCGCCCGGCTGGGAGTGCACCCAGGCACAGGGTTGGGGGTTCACCGAGGGGAACATCATTTGTCGTACTGCACCCAACACCATAAGAACTGGGGTGCTCCTCCTTTGGGCTTCCTCCCTTGGTCCTGGGTCTTCGGGTTCTTGGGCTTCTGCAGCGAGGCTTGGGGTGCCCTTCCCGGGGGACTCCCAGCTGGGGCTCTCTTGCCTTTGTGCTTGGGTGCCTGCTGCTTTCCCATCTGCGGAGCACTGCAGAGTGATCGCGACCCCTCACCTCCACTGAGTAAGGAACGTGCTTGTCGGTCTCCTTCCACGCCTGGGGCCTAGAGCCGGCTCACTCTTTGGTTCTGTACTGGTGCTAACTGGCCCGGGTACTGGTATGAGGAGGCCTGGACTGTGAGCACCTGCGGTGCGTCGAGAGGGCGCTCTTTGGGCTGCAGGTGGAGGACTGCAGGGCCGGCTGGTCCTCTCAGCAGAGAGATGGGGTCATGACCCTTCCCTGTGGAAGTGCCAGGCGTTAGAGGGACCCGAATGCCCCTTCTAGGTGGCTTCTGGGTCTGACGGGTGCAGGGTCATGAGGGAGACTCCAAGACTCCCTCAGCCCTTGCTGAGTGACAGAAGGCAGCGAAGCTATTTGTGTGCACATGGGTGTGTGTGTGCGTGAGCTCAGGGTCTCGGTTTCTTCAAGTGTCAGTGGAAGATGGGCCTCCTGTGCCTGTCACGTCCTGAGACCCACAGGCCGAGGAAGACATGCTGGACTTGGAGAAGCTTTGAGAGATCGGGACGTGACCGAGAAGACCTCAGTGTAACTGCTTGGGAGAGGCTGTGCGAGCTGACATATGAATGGAATCTTTAATAATGAAATTGGCGAGTATTTATTGAACACATGTATCACTGTTTCCAGCACTTTCTGGTGGTGGCTACACAATCCTGACTCAGGTCTCACGAGGTTCCTCATATCCAAGGTGTAAGTACAAAGGGAGGCAGGAGAGAGAATAAGTAACTTGCCCAAAGTACAGCAAGTGGCAGAGCCAGGTCACCATGCAGAGCCACGCTCCTGCCCACTCAGCCCAGTGCCTCACCCACAGAGCACTCCCCGGAACTGAGGTAGGCACGACTATCTTCCCGATTTCTTTATTGTGCTTACTAGGAACAGGAACTGGGTGTGGCTCTAAATGCTGATATAACTGACCTAATTGTAGTCTTTCCAAAGACCTTACATGCTGGAAACCATCATATCCTTATTTTGCATGTGGAATGAAGATACAGGAAGGGAAAGAAATTTCTGGAAGCTTCCCAGCTGAGGGCAGAACTGGAATTTGCACCAGGCGGTCTGGCTGCACTCCATGCCCTCTACTGAGGCTTGGCTGCGCAGGACAAGGCCACATGGTCTCAGGAGCCCAACTCCAAAGTTTTCTTACTCTATCACCCCCCCCAGGAGGCTACCAATAACCAAAAGCTATTAGGCCTAGGGCAGGCCCCCTTAGCACCCAGGGGCCTGGGAAGAAAAGAGGTGAGGACAGGTGGAAGAAAGGGTGCCACAGCATGCAGAGGTGCACCTGTGACAAGACTGCCTGGCACACGTATGCCAGCCTCTTGGTATTCACCAGATCTTTCCTTTGGCTCCGGCCCAGCTTCCCTCCCCCTTCTCCCAGACCCTGGAATAAGAAAACAGAGTTGGCTGGGTACAGTGTACTTTATTGATGGTACATGACACAAGGCAGGGCTCCCTAAGCCCCTCCCCTTCTCCAGGGGGTCTGGGATGGAACTGTGACAGGTCAGGAGATTCTCGGTGTGGATGAGTGAGGGAAGGACTCCCCAGCAGCTGAGGGCGCCGCTCTTCCTCCTGTGCTCTCGCTGGGGCTGGTGGTCCGGGGGCTCTTACTCCTTGGAGGCCATGTGGACCATGAGGTCCACCACCCTGTTGCTGTAGCCAAATTCATTGTCATACCTGCAAGGGAGCAGTAGTTACAGGCCGGCGCCAGGGGGCGCCAGACCCGCCATCACTTTCTCAAGCCTGTCTCCACCCCAGCCACATACCAGGAAATGAGCTTGACAAAGTGGTCATTGAGGGCGATGCCAGCCCCAGCATCGAAGGTAGAGGAATGGGTGTCACTGTTGAAATCGCAGGACACGACCTGGGGAAGGAAAGAAAACCAAGTATGGGAACCCAGTCTTGCCCGGCGGGAGGGGTAGAGGCCAAGCTCCCCGGCCTATCAGTACCTGGTCCTCGGTGTAGCCCAGGATGCCCTTGAGGGGGCCCTGTGAGGCCTGCTTCACCACTTTCTTGATGTCGTCATATTTGGCCTAACAAAGTAAAAGGAGACAGGGATTCAAACCCCAATCTTCCCGTCGTTTCACCAGACACACAGACCCCGGCCCCCCCAAGCCCTCCCACGCCCAGCCCTTGCGTACAGCTTTCTCCAGGCGGCAGGTCAGATCCACGACTGACACGTTGGGGGTGGGGACGCGGAAGGCCATGCCGGTCAGCTTCCTGTAGACACAGGAACAGGGTCAATACCTGCTCCTCCTGCTTCCCCAGATCCCCAGGGCAGAGAAGCAGCCAAGAGCCTCACCCATTCAGCTCAGGGATGACCTTGCCCACAGCCTTGGCGGCGCCGGTAGAAGCGGGAATGATGTTCTGGGCAGCCCCTCGGCCATCACGCCACAGCTTCCCAGAGGGCCCATCCACGGTCTTCTGGGTGGCAGTGATGGCGTGGACCGTGGTCTAGGAACAGGGAGGAGGGTGTGAGGCCCTGCAGTGCCCATTCCCTGCCCCCCTCCCCCGCTGCAATGGAGTGGTAGAGTAACCTGAGCCACTCCTGGGGAAACTACAACACCCCAGCCCCCACAGCCCCCGGCCAGTTCCAGGCAGGGAGAAGGCCCCGCTCTCATACCATGAGCCCCTCCACGATGCCGAAGTTGTCGTTGATGACCTTGGCCAGGGGGGCCAAGCAGTTGGTGGTGCAGGAGGCGTTGCTCACAATCTTGAGGGAGTTGTCATACTTTTCGTGGTTCACGCCCATCACAAACATGGGGGCATCGGCAGAAGGGGCGGAGATGATGACCCTCTTGGCCCCACCCTTCAGGTGAGCCCCGGCCTTCTCCATGGTAGTGAAGACGCCAGTGGACTCCACAACATATTCGGCACCAGCATCACCCCACTTGATGTTGGCGGGATCTCGCCTGCAAAAGGAGACACATCAAGTTCAGGAACGTGGGGTACCCAAGGGGGTTACCCCAACCTAGTACACCCCCCCACCCCAAGCAAATGGCTTTCGGTTCTTTCACTCACTCCTGGAAGATGGAGATGGACTTCCCGTTGATGACAAGCTTCCCGTTCTCCGCCTTGACAGTGCCGTTGAACTTGCCATGGGTGGAATCATACTGGAACATGTAAACCTGGAGGGGCAGAGGAGGGCATCAGGGGCTGCGCCTCAGCCAGCCCTGCCCCCCACACTAACCGCAGGGGCGCCTCTCACCATGTAGTTGAGATCAATGAAGGGGTCATTGATGGCAACAATGTCCACTTTGCCAGAGGTGAAAGCAGCCCTGGTGACCAGGCGGCCAATGCGGCCAAATCTGCGGGAGACGAGAGGTTGGAAGGCCTGAAGCAGGAGGAGAGAATTCTCCGGGGCTCTTTCTGAGGGAAGGTGACACTCCCAACCACCACAAAGCCTCGAGGCCTAACTTTCCCTTCCTCCAGGGGCCTCGTCAGACCTGCCTGGCTCTGAAAGCACAGCCAAGAGATGAAAGCTCCTAACCTGCCCAAGAGGTGACTGGGCTCAAAGACCTGCCCAATCCCCACATCACCTGAGGTCCTTCAAGGACAAGGCAGTGCGGCACTGCTGCCTGTCTGGCACATGCCGGGCACACTGCATTTGCCACCCTCACTATGGGTGCCTGGGAACGCCCATTCCCGTCTGGCCCAGCTTCAGGCTACACCCTCTGGGGAGCAAAGACTTGTGCAGTCAGCATCATCAAGCTCAAAGGGCAAGAGTAAAGGTCGCAGCTCACTGGACAGGCCAGCCCACCCTGTCCCCGAGGCTCTACCAAAGGGAAAGAGACGGGGAAAATGAGCTTTTCAAACCCTTAGTCTGTTTGCTAAGCTACCTGGTCTTCCAGCTCTTTCCCCAAACTCAGGAGTAGTAGCAACAGATGCGTGTGGGGGGGAGAAGGAAGTGAAGGGAGAGGCCAGGTCCCCACCACAGAAAGGTCAGGCAGCTATATTTAACCCCGGATGAGGGGAGAGTGGGGGATCTGGTTTCTAGGAGACAGAACGGGGAGAAGGGCAGGATTCCCAAGGCTCACAGACACCCAATCCTCCCTGTGACCTTTACAGCCTGGCCTTTAGGGTTGGATCCGCCGTAAGCGCGGAAGGCAGAAGGGGCTTTGAGGAGGGCCTGGTGAAGAAGGGGCTGCCGCAACAGGAGCCATTTTGTGGTGGAAATGTGCTCACTACCCATGACTCAGCTCCCTCAGGATGGCACCCGGCCACAGCCACCACACCGCTCCCGGAGGGGGGCGGCAGAAAAGACACGAGGACCCCCACAAGCCCTGGTCTGGGCGTCACCAGAGGACCGCGCGGGAAGCGGCGGCCCACGGGGCAGGGCTGCAAGGTCCGGCTCTCTTCTCGGAGCAAGCAGCGGGGCAGCCCGGCCTCACCTGGCTTCCCGGATAAAAGCGGCTCCACCCCGCCAGGGAAGCGGGAGGATGAGTCACAGGCCAGGAAGCCCGAGGAGCCCGAGGAGGTTTCCTAACGGGGCTTCATTCATTTCCTTCCCATTTGCAACATGGCGGCCCGGGCACCGCAAAAGGCACCGCACCCGGTTGCGCATCGCGGGGAGCAGCCCGCAGCCCGTCCCGGCCGCGGGGAGGGGGCTCCTCCCCAGCACGTGACCCCGCAGGGCGCGAAAGGACATAAAGAAGCTCCAGCCAGGGATTAGGGGGATGGGTCGGCGGCCAGCGCCGGGGCCGGTGCTGATCGGGGCCGCTGCGGAGGAGGCTCCCGGGCGACCGTCCCCGCAGGGGCGGGGCTACAGGAGGCGCAACTGGGGGACACTGGCCTTTTGTGCGCTGACCTTGAGGTCTCCTTGAGGGGCCCAAGCGCCCACCCACCTCCCCCGCGCGCGCGCCGCGCAGCTCCATCCCGCGGGGCCCCCGCCGCCCCCGGCCCGCCCGGCCGACTCACCCGTTCACGCCGACCTTCACCATGGTGTCCGCGGACGCGCTGCGGGAGAGGCGGGCATCAGCGCCGGGCGTGGGGCGCCGCCCGCCCCTCCCCCCGGCCTCCATTCCCACCCCGCGCGCAGGCACGTCCGCCCCCCCCCCGCCCCTGCGGGCCTCGGGCCCGACCCCCGCCGCGACCCCCGCCCGCAGCCCGGCCCGGCCCGGCCCCGCGCGCCCGGCGCCCTGGGAGCGGCCCCCGGCCGGGTGCGGGTCCCCGCCGCGCGCTCGCTACCTGGCACTGCACGACGAGGCGGCCGTCTGGGAACCCGGAGGAGCAGAGCGCCCGGGGGAGGCTGCGGCGCCTATTTATGGCGGCGGGGCGGGGCGGGGAAGGGGTGACGCGCGAGTCCCAGCCCAAGGGCGCGGAGGCCTGAGCTACGTGCGCCCGTAGCCCTGCGAATAGCAGCGCCCCGTTTTTGGGGGGTTTGGCCCCGCCCCGTTTTTCAAAAGTGCACGCACCACGCGTCTGGGCTGGGGAAGGGGGCGGGGGGCTCAGGGTGGAAAGAGGAGCTGAGATGGGTCCAAAGCAGCAGGTGGTGGGCGAAGCCTGGACCGGGCTTGGTTCGGGAGACTATGGACTCGAGGCCGGCAGCCCCGGTGGAAACTCGAGCACCCCGGGAGCCCGGGACATTAAAGCTGCTGCTCGGATGAGACCGGGACATCGCGGCCGGAGCCCCGGGAGGCTCGCGACTGATCGTGGCCTCGCGCCTCCTCTTTCCAAGACGGAGGCGCTTCTCCAGAATCTTTGGTAAACACTGGAACGGCGAGAAGCAAAGGCGGAGGTGGGGTGGCAACCCGCCTCCTCCAGGCCCTCCCCAGCTCCCTGGTCCTCCTCCCTGTCCCCTGGCTCTGGATCTTTCTGGACCAGGGGCCTGGCAGGACGCTGGATTGCGGGGGGCCGGTAGGAAAGGAGGCGCAGGAGGTGGTTTTCACACCGTGATCACGATGTCCTGCAGTGCCTGATAACCGGGGCGGACGCCGCAGCCCTGTGTGCCTCACCGCTCTCCCCCAGCCCGGGGACCAGCCCGAGGGAGGTGTGCCGCGCGGGCTGGGAGACAATGCGCCTTTCACCTCCTCCACTCCGAGGCAGCGCTGGACGTGAGGGCGGAAGTCCCTCCCCAACCTGGGACGTGCCAACCAGCCCTGGAGCCAGGGACTCCCTTTCACTAAGGCCAGAGGATGTTTGGGGCTGGGTGGAGTCCAGAGAAGGGAAAACTGGAAGGTTTTGGGCAAATGTTAGAAGAGGGCCTGTGCCTTCCTCACGTGGGATAGAGGGACTCATTCCCCTTCAAGAGGGGCCGGGAGGTGGGCTGTGCCAGGCTTGTGGGCTGATGACGCCTGGCTCTCCAACCCTTGGAGGATTTAGAAGTGGGTAGGGTGAAAGACCTGCCCCATCAACAGGTGCCAGGAATGGGGGCGCCTGGGGCCTCTTTGCTGGCCCAGCCCAGCGCAACCTGACACCAGCCCCCTTTTCCAGCTGAAAAGCCTGTAGCTAAGTTTAGCCTGCCTGGTGATAGATAACCTTTGCTTAAAAGGCAGGGAGCTTGCTGTATCCCGCACCTCCATTCCAGCTCCAGGCCCTTCCCTTTGTAGGACTGCCCTCCCTCTGGGCCCCAGAGCCAGGGCTATTTGGGATTCTGTCAGCCACCTGCCGGGCTGGAGTGCAGGCTTCTCTGGAGAGAAGAGGGAGGGCGCCTGATGAGGGCGGTGGGGAGCCCACAGGGCAGACCCGTGGGGGAGGTGGAGGAAACTCAGCTGTTGCTGTTACATCCTGCTTAGGCTCCATCAGGACTGTAACCCTTTCTGATTAAGGGCCCCCTGCACTATCCAAAACGTATGTCTGAGGTGCCACTTCCCCTTTGCCTCACGCTTGTCACCTTTTACTACTGTCCTCTGCCTGCAAAGAGGGCGCTCAGTGCCCAGGGAGCACTACTGACGCAGCCTGCTGTTGTCATGACAGCAGCTCACCACCTCCTGTTCAGGTGACTCAGCAGAGACAACTTGGGGAGTTGGAGGTGGGCAGGCTTTGGGTGGCACACTGCCAGCACCTGCATCTTAGGGGCTCAACTTCCTGCCAGCTTTGTAAGACATGACTCCCTGGTAGGCACTGTCAAGAGCTGGAGGGGTTTGTGGCCTGCCTTCCCCCAGCCTGGCCAGGTCAGTTACCAGTCTTTGCAGATGGATCAGGAGTGTGAGTGGGGCTGAGGTAGGACACAGAGAGCCCGCCCTCGATCTCGAGCAGGGTTTCTCAACCCTGGCACTATTGATTGACATTTTGGGCCAAATCATTCTTTGTTGTGGGGGCTTCCCTGTGCATTGTAAGGTATTTAGCAACAGCCCTGGCCTCGACCCACTGGATGCTGGTAACCCACCCCCCCCTACATTGTGACAATAAAAAAAGTCTAGATGCTGCCAAATGTCCCCTGGAGGAGTTAAGCAGTGCTGAGCCGAGTCTAGGCTGATTTCTTCTCCCCAGGGGCGTGATGCTGGCTGGTGCAGGGAGATGTGGGAGGCTGGGAAGAGGAAGATGGGCACCAAGGGAGCGCGCAGCCTATCAGATCTCGACTATCAGATCTCGATTCCTGCCTCATCTTCTCTGAGTGCTGGTAACCATTCATCTGCTGCCTGAATCTGGGCTCACGTGAAAGATAAACCAAAGACAAGCTTAGGAAAAATGTCTAAAAGTATTTAAATAAAAATCAAGGCTTGGCAAACGTTTTGGTAAAGGCAGCTCAACTCCATTACGTTAGGCCAGTTTAAGAGAAATGCCTTTCATTACAAAGATTATTTATGTATTAAAAAACCAGGAGGCAGGGGAATTTCACAAGGGGAATAAAGTCAAGGAGACCCCACAAGGTACCCTGCACAGCAGGGATGGGAACAGGCAAGACCACCTCCTAGGACTTGAATCTGCGAGTAGATGCTCGGCGGATGGGGGTGGTTTTCTTGGGTGTCTCATCTTCTGTCATCTCTGCTGAAAGCTCTATTCAAAGAATTGGAGGAATAAAAAAAAGCTGAGTCACAAAGATGGTGAAAAACAGATGTCAGAGAACAAATGGGACAGCCCAGGACCACACCGCAGAAAGTGCACAGCGAGGAAGAGGACCACAGCGGCAGGTGGCGAGCACCCCATCAAAACCAGCTTCGCCCATGCCAAGCTGCTCCCTGTACAGTCAGGAGGGCACACCCTACCTTCCTCGCTGGACTCATCGCTTGAGAAGACCACTCTGGGTTTCTTTTTTGAAACTGGCTGCTGGGTGTTTGGATGCCGACGGGTAGTGCGCCGAGGCTCCGGTGTGACGAAGTCACTGTCTGAGGCTGCAGAAGCCAGACGCTGTTGCCTGGACACTAGAAAGGGCAGGCAGGGAGCCATGAGTCCAAAACAAAAGTAACCTCCATCCCAGAGCAGTGCCCAGTTGGGTCTCCCTGCCATTCTGTGAGGCTGCCTCACATACCAGCGGGTGGCTTCTTGGCTGACAGGGCCCGCTGGCTGTCGCCTTGGGCAGTCTCAAGTTCCTCTACTGCATCCAATCCTCGGGTGTGACAGGCCCGAAGCTTCTGTTCAAATTCATCTATTGTAGCCTATAGGGAAAAAAGATTAAGAGCAGGCCTGTAAGTGCAGTTATTTCTGTGATTAAAAAGAAACAAGGCCATGAAAAATAACGGTGAAACTGAAATGCACAGGGCACCAAGTGCAACGCACCCAAGGTGCAGACTTTGTGATGCCAACTACACGACGTTTTGGAAAAGGCAAAACCAGAGACATTGAGAAGACTAATAGTTGCCAGAGGTAAAGGGGGTAGGCAGGTGTGTGTGGGCACAGATTTTCAGGGTGGTGAAACTATTCTGACTGACACTGCAATGGTGGACACAGGTCATTATTTGTCTAAAAGCTCTGAATGCACAACACCGAGAGTGAACCCTAATGTAAACTATGGCCTTTGGGTGACAATGATGTGTCAGGCTAGGTTCACTGATTGTGACAAACAAGTGTGCCACTCTGGAAGGGTGTGTTTACAGTGGGGGAGGATGTGCATGTGTGGGGATGGGGCAAAAGAGGGAACTCTCTCGATTTCTACCCAATTTTGTTTTGAACCTAAAACTGCTCTAAAATATAAAATCTGTTTTAAGAAGGGGAGAAAGAAATAGGAAATGGAGACAGAAAGATTTAGTCTTGGGCTCCTCTTGTTACTTGGCTGCCCTCAGGCTGGGGCACGGCAGCAAGGTGGGGCGCACAGAACCGGTGAAGTCTGTGTTCTGCCAGGCGCTCACTCCTGCTGGCAGCTGCCGTGCAGCTCACCTTGCCCTCGGGTTTGGCCCCACGCCGCAGCTTGCCCACAACTGACAAAAAGGCACTGAAGATGGACTCGTCTGACAGTTTGTCTCCAAAGCAGTCAAAATTGTCCAGCATCCTGCGGAGGCCTCGCTCTGTGAGGGGCAGCTGTGACACACAGTAGGCCAGGTCCCGATACTGCCGCTCGGTCCTGCAGATGAGAAAGGCTTGGTGAGGAGCTGAGAGATCCAGGAAGAAGTGGATCATCCTTCTTCAGTTTTCCATACCCCTGGGACACCCCTGGGGCCCTTTCCCTAGCAGGCCCCTCCAAGCACACAGAACCTAAGGGGGCAGCATACCGGGCGGTGCGGAAGCGCTGACACAGCTTTTCCACCAGACTCTCGGTCTGCTTGTCTTTGGTGATGTAGGAGAGGAGCTGCCTGCAGGGGAAGATGCAGTTGTGCCATCTCCCAGGGGCAACTCCATACTGTCCTCTAAGAATAATCCTGTACCTTCCCGGAAGCACCAACCTTCTGTCACCCTCTTGCCTTAGAAGTTTTCTCTGTACAGCCCATGCCACCCTCAGTCTTCCTCTTGCCCTTTCCCTTGCCTCAGAAAAGGGCCTATCCCATGCCCAAGGAATTTTCATGCTGAATAGAAATTTGTAACAAAAACAGCTGTTCAGCGAGTACTATCATGTGCCTACCACCACATTAGTAACTTTATCTTCTTGAATTTTCTTAAGAACTAAGGGTAACACCAGCCTCACTTTATAGAGGAAAAATAGGACAGGTGGGCCATAAGTTACTGCTGGAGACCAGACAGCAAAAAATTAGCAGAACGAGAATTCAAATACAGGTTTGTCTGACTCCTAACACTGCGCTACATGATAACTGTGCCTCAAGGCCCGGGAACTGTACTTCATGATGGTGTGGAAAGGCTCTTCCTCCACCCCTCCCTCAGGGTCTGACAGGCGGCTGATGATATCTGGAAGGAGATTGTAGATTGCATTGCCCTGTA